TTATCCATGTGCTCAGCGATGGAACAGCCTATTGTTAGTCCAACAAGGGCAAAGTCACACTGGGATTTTTGAAAAAAAAAAAAAAAAAAAAAAAGCCAGTTCTTTACCTTGCCTAAAACTTTGTTAAATATTAAACTAGCCATACCAAGGAGTTTAGCAAAAGCAAACACCGAGGGTTTGCTAAACTTAAACCCAATAAAGTAGAAAGTTAATAGTTGGGTACAGGGTGTTTTCTGTTTTAGAAAAGCCAGCTATGACAATACACAAGTGCAAATTAACAGTGCCTTAGAAGGTTTAATTAAAGAGAGCAAAGGTCAAGTGAAGCCTGTAAAACTCCAAAATTTGGCCACATAGATCTTTTCATGACTTGCAGAGAACCCAAATCTCTCTGGCACTTAGGGTAGAATAGCTCCTGATGGGGTGTATAATTCATATAATTTATTTCTTTCATTTATTTGTTGTATTTACTTATTGCAATTTATAATTCTTCAGAGCACTCGTGAAAGTTTCTGCACTCTGTCCCATTTCAAGCAACAAAGGTGGCACCCAGAAAATACGTGGTGAGATTGTGGCGTGAGGCAGCTGGAGTGGTTTCCTTTCCCATCCCCACATAGCATTGTGCACAGTTAAAAAATGTGCGTGCATCTCACCACACCTTGGGTTCCAGGGCACCTCCCCGGCACTCTTTGAGAATAGAACTGCTGATGGGATCCAAAATCATATATGTAAAATGTAAAAAGCAAAGTATAAAGCACAAACCACAGGAGAGCTCAGACTGATTGCCAAGAGTTGAGAGGTCTTTGCTTAGATGGAGTGTAATAATTTATACCTACCTTGTTATTACTGGTGTGCCTTCGTAAAAATTTCTCATTGCAAGAAAAAACACCTGCACAAGTTTTCTGGGCCTGATATTTTTCTTTAAATCACGTGGTTGTGTTTCAGTCTGAAAGCTTTCCAAGGGAATAGGGAAGAGAAAGGAGAGGAGGAGAATGCGGGAACTCTGAGTGTCCCCTTTTCTGCTTGCAGAAAAAATATCTTGTCCAGTACAGGAGTGTTGCTGTTTAAGTAGGAGGGATAGTTGGGAGACATCAACGTTCATTCTAAACAAGAAAACAGACCTAATATTTGAAATTCTGTAGCTAGCAGAAGTAGATTACTGTTGGAAAAATTACTGAGAAATAATAGATTTTAAGTAGGGAACTAATAGTGGGGGGGTTTTAAATTAAAAAAAAAAAAAAAAACAAAAACAAAAAAAAACAAAACAACAAACAAAAACAAACAAAAACAAACAAACAACAAAACAAAACAAAACAAAACAAAACAAAAAAACAAACAAAAATGCCACCACCAGCAAAAACAGGCTCCATGGGTTGCAGTGGAAGTAATGAACCTTTGGTAAAATTACTGGAGTGTTAAAGACATGTTTTTGGACTATGGAAAGACAGAAGTGAACAATAAAAGCTGTCTTCCAGCTGGTGTTCAGATTTGAATGAGGAAGATAAGAAGATCGAGGCAAATCAAGCGATGAAAAAGGGAGAATGATCTATGGTGAAAAAAAAATCTATCAGAACAGCTGTAGAAGGTGTACAAAGAAACGAGTATAATAAATGTGGTAAATTGCTGTACTGTACTTGTGTATTTTCTTTAATAAGAGTATGGATCTAAAGGCAATGGAAGCAGACTGACTCCTCTTCTTTAGGATGAAAAATCTGAACTGAAAGAAATATGAGTCCATTTCAGACCAGGAATAGAGGGGAATAATTCTGTGCAAGACCAGTGAGGTCTTAATGTGAAACCAGCAAAGAGAAAAATACCCCATGAGAGAGTGCTGTGGGGGCAAATTGTGAGCATGTGCAGGGAGATTCCTGGTCTTACACTGGCCTCAAGAAGAGACCGTTTAAGGTCTTGCTTTTCCAGGATTTTTGAGAAGGTGGCAACTTTTTCTGTCTTAGTCCTCAGCTCCTTATGGCATCTGCAGTGATCAAATATTGTTCCCATCGTAGTAGACCAAATAGTGACATAAATTTACAAATTATAATCAAAAAGCCTTTTAGAACTTAGTTTTTGTCCAGTATCCAAAAATATTCTGGCAAATATAGAAGTATCTGAAGCCTCGGGGTCTATTTGTTATTCCCCTTATTCTGTTTATAATGTGGCTGTGATCCCCTGGGAGTCCTCTGTCTGCTGAAGGTCTGGGCATTGAACTTGAGTTCACCAATTTCAGAAGTGGAGTGGGTCCGTTTGCCTTCACTGGTCCTCAGTGCTAAATGTCCAACTTGTTTTTGTTAGGCCACATCTCTTGCTTAACACAGTAATAATTTGTGTGGTTTGTAATATGGTTTACTTAAAAGAGACTGTTTTCACATAGGGTCATGAGCAGACCGAAGTTATTTCTCAAACTGATGGGCAATCTCCTTCTCTCCTTTTTTAGTGCTTTGAATAACTCAGAAATTACTGATGTGACTAGCAACTCCGTAGAGAAAGTTTATGAGGACAAACTCTGCTCCTGGCCAGTAGTAGCTTTAAAGTTGGGTAGTTTTCAGAAAAGCATCATTCATAAAAACAGCATTAATGAAAGCTCCAATGAAACCAAAGAAAATGGAGTAATTGTGATGTTTGCACTTGGATTTTTTTTTTTCCTTTAAACACACAGAAAGACTTTCTCTTAAATACGCAGTGCAAAGAAAAGAGCTAGTTAGTGTATCTGAATGGGCTTTGAGATTCATCAGATAACACAGAAATTAGCAACATGCTAGAAGCTGCACTGCAATTGGACTTATGGCAAAAGCAGTCTTCAAACAGGTTTGGTTTTAGTGTGTATTTTTTGTCTTCTTGTGAACTGGGACATGAGAATTGGAAAGCCATGTGTGATGACAGAGGAGGAAAGTGCTATTAATCAAAACCACTTTTGTTCCTGTCTTCAAAGCCTTTCTGCCACCTTTTCCATTTTTATCTGTTTCTATGTTTTCAGTTTAGCAGACATTTGTAATCTAAAATGAACTACAGTAACAGAGTGACTTGTTCAAGATCAAGTGCTTCTATTCCTAAATACTTTCTACTCAGGAACGCTGAATGTTTCTAGAATCGAGATGATGTTTTTTAAGATCCTGTAAATGAATTAATTATACATTAAATACAGTCAATAGTCTTATATTTAAAACAAACAAAAAACAAATAACAAACAAAAACACAATAAAAAAGCCCTGATGAACTAGTATACTTTTTGCTACTTCAGGTACTAAAAAGGATCCAAGAAAATGTCAGTCTTGAAATGACCTGATTTGAGAAAATGTGATGAACCAACCAGTTAGACCAAAAAAAGTGTATGGCTGTATTGCTGCTTCATACAGAGAAAGAGTAAGCAAAAGGAGGTATTGAGCCCATATCAGCAGATTAATTCCAAGCATAATTATAGTACAAAAGTATTGGTGTTAAAAAGGATTTCTCTTCCAGCTGTGTTGCCTTAACCTACAAATACGCATGAATAGAGGGGGTTTTGTTAACTGAAGTTCATTGTGTTGTTTTGATTAAATTGTGTAGTGTGTGGCTATCTTCTGTAAATAGCAAAGGATTGGCATTTCTGTTGAATTTTCTGTGTTTTCACTGTCACTTATATTTATCTTCTCTGTCAATTAGTATGCCACTTCCATTTGAGTGAGGAATGCAGTGTTTTACCTGAAAGGTATTTGCAACTTTTCTGTAGGGCAGAGAATGATCAACATTACATTAAGGGAGATAATGATAAACATTTTTTCATCTTTTTCCTGGATGATATAAAAGATGAGAGAAGAAGACTAGCACAAAGATTAACAGCTCACAAGCTAGGTTTTTCTGCAAAACTACATACCAAATCCCTGACCTTGTTTTTGAGAGCTGCATCATTGTAACAGAAGCATCATCCTGTGCTGTCCAGTCTGTCTGTCATTGCTTGGTTGTTTCTCTCCAAGCTTCCACTTGGATCTTAACATTGCTTCATTGCTTTTTGATTTACAAGGTTTAGTATGGCTGTGTTAAAGCCAGGACAGCAAGTAAACACTCATGGTTTCTCTTGTCTGTGGTTACAAACAAAAGGCTATGGAAATGTGGGTTGTTTTTTTTTTTTTAGCGTACTTGAAAAAGAAAAAAGAATTTTCCACTTGTCAGGAATAACTGCTCCCATAAACTCGTGTTGCCGTAGCTTGTACGTTACCAAGGTACATACATCAATAGAGGAGAAAGAAAAGTAGAGGACTGTTTGTTTCTTCATTACCCTTGGCAACAGTATCATCTGCGCCTTTCATTTTTGTAAATGCATTTTTCTTAGGTTGTAAAAGCTTATGGCTATTCTATGACTCTAAAAACCTGAGCGCAAATGGGAGTGTGTGGATGTATACATTTCTGAACGTGTCAGGTTTTTATTTGTGTCATAACTTTTATAAAGAGGATGCGAACGTGGCCTTTGGAGTGCTTCAGATCAGCAATATCTAGTGATCTAGACTAGTGTTTAAATTCAATTTAGAAATATGTTTTCCTTATACAGTAGTGTATTTTAACTTCTTGTACATGTTGTATTGAATGTGTACTCTTGTTTATTCTGTTAGTAATAATGTATGATCTATTGCACTCACTGTAGAATGTTTTGAATAGGTATGTCGTATTCTCCTGTCTCTGTACACTGATATTCTTGGCTTCAGCTTTTTGTATCTAAAACAAAACAATGCCTTCACAGGTTGTATATTCTTTTGCCTAACTTCTTTAGTGTGTTGAAATTTGTCCACTACTTCTACAAGTTAGCCAAAACCATTCTGTGTTATCTCACAGACATTTCATAAAGTAGGTAGGATTTACTTGGTGGGAGAGGAGGGGAAAATACATGCTTTTTGATTTGTTCCTTTAAGTAGACAGGTATACGTATGCTGGACAAAGATGTTAGACAAACGTTGCTGGTTGCTTGTATTTCAAGATAATTTAGTTGGTACCAAAAGATGGACTTCTAAATGCTTTTGTCACTCTTTCCCCAGCTCCTGCCAGTGGATGGACATCAAACAGCATTAAATCACCTGGAACAACTGCCCCAAGTGAAAAATTTGTGACAGCACCTCAGCTAAATGAGCAAGACACGTTGGTTCAGAGGGCAGAGCATATACCAGCGGGAAAGCGTACTCCCATGTGTGCGCACTGTAATCAAGTCATTAGGTTTGTATCTAGCTGCTGGGTATACTCTTTGCTGGGTAAAAACTGGCTGGATGGCTGGGCCCAAAGAATGGTGGTGAACGCAGTTAAATCCAGTTGGTGGCTGGTCACAAGTGGTGTTCCCCAGGGCTCAGCATTGGGGCCGGTTCTGTTTAATATCTTTATCAATGATCTGGACAAGGGGATCAAGTGCCCCCTCAGTAAGTTTGCAGGTGACACCAAGTTGGGTGGGGTGTTGATCTGCTTGAGGGTCAGGAGGCTCTACAGAGGGATCTGGACAGACTGGATTGATGGGCCAAGGCCAACTGTATGAGATTCAACAAGGCTGAGTGCTGCATCCTGCATTTGGTTCACAACCACCCCATGCAATGCTGCAGGTGTGGGAAAGAGTAGCTGGAAAGCTCCCTATCAGAAAAGGACCAGTGTGCCCATAAGGCTGATAGCATCCTGGCTTGAATCAGAAATAGTGTCACCAGATGGACTAGGGCAGTGATCGTCCCCCTCTACTCTGCACTGGTGAGGCCACACCTCAAATATTGTCTTCAGTTTTAGGCCCCTCGCTAGAAGAAAGACATTGAGCTGCTGGAGTGTGTCCAGAGAAGGGCAATGGAGCTGGTGAAGGGTCTAGAGAACAAGTCCTGTGGGGAGAGGCTGAGGGCACTGGGGTGGTTTAACCTGGAGAAAAGGAGGCTCAGGGGAGGCCTGATCACTCCTTACAACTACCTGAAAAGAGGTTGTAGAGAGGTGGGTGTCGGTCTCTTCTCCCAAGTAACAAGCAATAGGACAAGAGGGAACAGCTTCAAGTTGCACCAGGGAAGTTTTATATTCGATATTAGGAAAAGTTTCTTCACTGAAGGGGTTATCAAGCATTGGAACAGGCTGCCTGGGGAAGTGGTTGAGTCACCATCCCTGGAGGTATTTAAAAGATGTGTAGATGTGGTACTTAGGGACATGGTTTAGCGGTGGACTTGGCAGTGTTAGGTTAACAGTTGGACTTGATGATCTTAAAGGTCTTTTCCAAACTAAATGATTCTATCATTTTATTCATCCTGCAGGCTCTCTGACAGCAGGGTTTTGTTTTGCTCTTGTGGTTTTTGATTCCTTAGTCACATGTGGTTTAAAGCTTCATTTCAATAATGCAGAACACTGCTTTCATGCATGGTTTGTCTAGCAAAACTGAGAATGAGAGTACTGATGGAGGAAAAACATTGTGAACTGCTAACACTCACAGTGTTACAACCCATTTTACAGAGAAACAGAAAGCTGGGTGGAGTAGAGCAAAACAAAAAGTAAAACCAAAGAGAAGCAAGTTAGTTTTCACTTATACACCCATTCCAATAAAATTGAGAAGATGAGTTACTTGGAAACCAGTCAGAGAGTATAGTCTTATAAAGACTAACTTGTCACAAACATTGATTTATAAACCAGAATTTCTAATTGAGAAGAAGAAAAATAGCAGGCTCCATCCATTTAATAAAAGCAAGGAATAGAGATTTAACTATTTCTGGGACTGGATTAATAATAATTTCCTGCACTGTTAGATCTCAAGCTCTTTGGTGGGCTCTCTGGCCTTTGGATATTATGGTAGCTAGCGTCCTTTACTTGTATGACATGGGTAGAAAAGATTAAGCAACACAAACATGAGTTTGCCAAATGAGATTAAGTCAAACAAATTCTGCTGAGCCCCTAAAATATCCTATCATTAGCCAGAATTTCATATGGAGGAAGAATTAAATCTGGCTTGAATGAATCAGTGATTTCTGACAATTAGTCATGATGGTCTCATCCAGGGAACTGTAATCACTTTTCATGTCAATGTGCAAATCATCTTGATTTTCATCTACCTTGCATTTTGTTTCTTCCCTAAAATAGAGATTTCCTAGGATTATTGGAAGAAATGTATTCTTTTAAAACGTTTTCTTCTTGCTTGGTCAGTCATCTGTGTTGTTGAACTATGAGGGGAAAGTAATGCATTGTAATATTTCTTTTTTATTCATCTATGTCCTGTGTTTTCAGTGAACAAAATAGGAGAGCCTGAATGGTTAAAGAGACTCATTTGATTAGAAAACATTAATTCTGAAGAATTAGGAGCTCTATGAGCTGTATAAATTTCATTCAGTATAATAGAAAATCAGCCTTCCCAACATGGCTTTTTGAAGCCTCTTGAGCCCTGGTTTGGGTTCTGCATCAGAAGGTGCAGCTGACTCAAATCACTTATCTCTAGGGATTAAGTGAGTCCATCTTGTTTCCTTACATTACATTTCTGTTCTGATGGTTTGCTAACAGTTCAGTTAACATCAGGTTAATTTTAGAGGACTCTTTGCTAACCGATCTGTGATATTTTGGAAAATTTTTTCCTACTTCCACTATATATGTCAAGGAGATGAAAATGTATGATCTGAATCCCCTCGAAGCAATAGAAAAAACTCATACAAATTCCCAGCATAGTGCATATCTTTTCTAATCCAGATTTTTTGCTTCACTGCAAAATGAAAGATTAATATCAAAAAGGTCTACACACTTTTGGGATGAGATTCATCTGCTTTGTCAGACAGTTTGGCCTATGTAATAATTCTGTCTGTCTCTAGTATTCTGACCCTTTTGTTGCCTGGGCTTTGGATTTGTGTCTAGTAAATAATATGCAAGCAAACATGCACTTTCCTTTTTGTTACTATTATTTCAATTTAAAATTAAAACTGAACAGAGCAAATCCACCATAGGCTGCAACTTTCATGCAAGAAGCTTCAGTGCCTTTTACAGCACTTGCGGTTTAGCAGGGTTCACTGATGATCTGTGCCGTGGGGTCTCGCAGCACAGTCCACAGATGGCTCCTGAGCAGCTAACCTCAGCTCTTGGCCCTTAAATCACTTGCTGCCACTCCCCACTTTCACACTTTGATCACCATTAAAACGGAGATGAGTTGCTGCCCTGTAAGTAGGGGAGTGTACTGGTCCATAGAGCAACTGTTTGCTCCTTAGTGGCTGCATGAGGGGAAACTGTGGAGCCCTACTTTTGACAGTACTTAAGCTGTTGTCACCTATTGTAAGCGACACCTCTTCATGAATGGTAACCGATACCCACATCTAACTTCCCTGTAATTTGCTGCTGGTGTTCAAATCCTTATATTTCTACATTTGTTAAATGCCACCTCAAATATTAAAAGCAAGCATTTTTTCATTTGAGGATGAGTTGATGTGCATTAATTGGTGCCAAATATGCCTTGTGTTCATAGCATACAGTGGATTTGAAATATTGCAATGGCATTCTGAATTCAAGTTTTAGCATAATTACTGTTCATGCCCTTAGTGATAACATTACCTATGAAAAGGTAGGAGGAGGATCAAGTGACATTGCATTGTACATCTGTTTTGAAGCCAAAATGCGTTGTGGAGTTGGTTACTTTACACTCAGGCATAGAATAACCATGTCTGGTTGAGCCAAAACCATTTCTTAGAGACATCTTATAACTTTTTAATATACCTTTAATTATTTACACAGTGATTGTCTGAAGATTCCAATTTTTTTCTAAAGGTTCTTTAAGTAAGCTTTTCTTTCCATGTCTAAAAGAATCAAAGCTGGAGGCAAACTGATCTTCCCATAATCTACTTGCTGTGATGGTCTGACAAGCTTCTGACATTTCCCGATGAAGACTTCTGGTTCCCGTGTGCAGCAAAACAGAATTGACTCTTACTTTGAAGTCAAAATGTGTTTTCCCTGGGTCTCTGCTGAGAACATACTCTTTGGCATGTCTGCTTGTGAATTATGATTTGTCTTTGTCACCTTTTCATACAGCTTAATTGTTTTTAAAGACAAAAAGGAAAAAGTACAAATGGTGCTTCCTTTCAGCATCTCCTATACCGAAATTATATATCTTGGCATTTTCAAGTGAGGAGAAAAAGAAACTTCCCAGAGTGTAGACTGCTGTATGGTTGACTGTGAAGCAGTTGGCCTACTTAGCAGATGTGGAAATCCTTTTGATCTCTCTACCAGCAAATTTCAGTTCTGGCTTGCTATCATAATAAAAGCCACATGAGAAGCTAGATTATCGGCATGCTAATACATCATGACCATACTGATGAAGTTATATTTAGTTAAAAGTGTAAAGATAGTGAAATGGCAATTACATTCCCTGTACGTTACTTCCTTTTTCTTCCAATTTGCCCCTATATTATTGCTACACACAGAACACATATTTTTTAGGTGGCTACCACGTTTATGCACCTGGTGATCCTTTGGGGAATAAGATTCTGTAAATACTGTTGTAAATACATCAGAATCCCTTTTAAAATAATAGAAAAAAAAAAAACCCTACTATTTGCCTCCATCTGTGAGTTTGATTCATGTGGTCTAAATGGTGATGGCAGAAATTTGTTCAGAAATGCTTAGCATGTCGAAGTAGCCTGGGACGGAGGCGCATTCATAGGCAACTGTTGCCAGTTGGATCATCCCATATCTTTGGATGGAAGTAACAAGGTTTTTTAGCACCACCTTTAAAAATATGTTCTAGTTGATAGAGACATGTGGGATGTTTTAATTGTTTTAATTGTTCTTAAATGGGGTAGGAAGGATGAAGTCATCTGCAACCATCTTCTTAGCATTTCATGCTCTAGCTAATTCCCATCAGGTTGCATGAGTGTGGGCACATGGCCCCCTTACTGAAATCAGGGCTTTAAACTCCTTTTCAAATGAATACAGAAAATAAATATCTTTCATTACTGGAAGCTATCATTTCAATCTCAAAAATATGCAGAGGCCAGAAACACCTCCAAGTTCTGAATATCATGTTTTAGTGTATTTTATGTGGCAGGTGTTTATTTTTTTTTTCTTTCTTCCACGTGCTTTGGGGCAGCTTTTAAGTCGCTGGTATCATTAAGCTGCAGCGTCAGCTTGACATGTTTAAACTATGGCCTGATTAAAAGTAAAATTGTATTTAGAAAGTGTTCTTCTGGACATGTGTGTGCAGGGAGCCAGGCCGCTAATGGAACACCTCAGAGATATTGTGCAGGGCACGGCCACAGCTGTCTGGGGTATTGGGATAGAAACTCTGTAGATGCACTCTCAGGCTGTTCCCCATCCGTTTGGGTTCCTGCATGCTGTCCTGAATGGCTAACTTCAACATGTCAGAGCTGTAAACTCTGGAGAGCTAAATGCAGCAGATGTAAAAATTCCTTCCCCTCCCATTGCCAGCGTACTTGCTTTCCATTGCAGAGCTAACGGAGCCTACTGTTTCGGTGCAGATGGCCAGAAACTCAATCCTACCTGGAGCTGGGAGAGCCTCTTTGGTGTCAGCCCCGTGTTAATGAATCTGTTAAATTAGCCTGTGCTGACACGGCGCGCTGAGAGCACTTTGTTGTACATAAGGGCTTGTATTGTTTGATCAGTACATAACTGAAAGGGCATTGATGTAAAAAGGTGCTTGTAGAGCGGCGGGAGGGTATCGGGTTAGGTCAGTGTTTGCACTGCTCAGGCGTCTGCTGGGAGCAGGGGCCAGAGCTGTGCTCGACCCCGGATCCCTCCTTACAGGGCTTCGAGCTGCTCTCCAGCAGCTGTTTTTTACTGCTTTCTCTCTGATAATCAGAGGTGAATAGAAGAAACTGCTTCAGATTGAATACATTCGTCGCCTCAGAAGTTGTATGAGTTGTCCTAAATCTGCTTGAGTGCTTTATCTTTGACTTCTCATCCTGTTGAAAATACATAGCATCTCCAGAGAAAATGTAGAAGAGAGATGAAAATAATTACCCAATACTCTCAATGAAGTTGCCCTCTGTCCTCTGCCCGCTTATATTCCCACCTTAGAGTCTATAACCCCGGAAGCAAATTTTAAGTTGTTTTTTTTTTTTTTTTTTTTCTTCTCTATTGCTATTGCTTTGTTCATATGAAGATCTTGCCTTACACAAAAATGTTCTTGTAGCTTACTTGATTTCCAAAAAAAATGTTTAGCAATAGAGTGGTAATATTAGTACCTTATACTTTCTTTTCAACGAAGTATTAGATCAGAAAAAAAGTGATGCATTACTGCAAGAATGGCATCTTTATCGGTCTTGCAAAAATGGGGAATCAGGTGGGGGAGATGAACTTGAATGACAAAGTTCAACTGAAACCTAAGTTCTGGAAGGTTGAGTGTTGGTGGGAGCTTGGAGGCACTTCATTAAAGTACATGTTCATTAAAGAAATTAACATGCTGAGTATGTTTTCAGATTAATACAGATAAAATGGTATATGCCTGGGATTTATGAGCTACCAACTGAGAATTTTTTGTTGGCTGAGAAATAGACAGATTTATCTTGTTTATTAACCTTGTTGCTTTAGCCAGACAAATGCTATTAAAAACATCATTATTTTGTGTTTGCAAATAAGAGGAGGCTCTGTGTTTGGAGAAAATGGTTCTATTTGAACCCGCTTCTGAAGGAAAAAGAAAAAAAAAACAAGGACACATACATGCCCACCACCCCCCACAATCCCTAGAAAAAAAAATCCCCCAACAACTGGGGGTTTTTTTGTCTCACAAGAATCTGATGTCACCGGATCTTAATGGACTCAAGTCTACTTGAACATTTGTAGCCTCAATGCAAATGCATGCTGAAAGAGGCTTGATCGTATCACTGAGTCAAATATCTCTTTCCAGTAGATGGAAATAATTGGAAACACAGGGAACATCCTTCTTCTCTTCGCTAGCAGCCACTTCAGCACTGTATTTAATGTAGTTCTAAAATAATATTATGAAGGGCAGTGAAGAGAATTCGTATTTATTGTGGTCAGGTGTTTCTGGGAAGTTGTTCAATGGGAATAGATATAGTCAACACTTGATGCTTTCTTAGATCCTGTAGAAGGAAAGAGTGATGGAGCAGTTTATGTTTGTGAACAGTGTAGTAATGGCACAGAGATGCTGTAGGTTAAGCCTATTAACATCTTTTGCAGGAGCCAACCCAGGAGCATTTGCTGACAAAAATCTGTTCTTTCTAATCAGAGGACCCTTCTTGGTGGCTTTGGCGAAGTCATGGCATCCGGAGGAGTTTAATTGTGCTCACTGCAAAACCTCCATGGCTTACATTGGATTCGTGGAAGAGAAAGGGGCGCTGTATTGCGAGGTCTGCTATGAGAAGTTCTTTGCCCCTGAGTGTTCAAAGTGCCAGAGGAAGATCCTTGGGGTAAGTGACCAGCAAGTCGCCTGTTCTTCAGTGGGAACAATAACCAGAGTGTTCAGTGCTTCTCTGTAATGAAATTCCCTTTATCTGGCCCAGTTTTCATCCTTCCAAATATACTCTGACATACCTTTTCAGCTCCCGTCACATACAGAATATTTTTCTGGCTCTTCTAATGTTGAGTGTTTTCAGTTTCTTTGAGAAAAGGTGCTGTAGTCTTCTTGGATCTTCCAAGTTCAGCTCCTGTTTTCATGAAGCTGTTCTCTAACTGTTGTGATTACTGGATTTTCTTGGGCAAAATGCTTTTAACTGGCAGCTTTTTACAGAATTGGAGGGGGAGGGAAGGAATCCTGCTTAGCTGAGCTGAGCACTGAGGAACGCGCTGGTTGGCTAGATGTGAAGTACTGAAATATTCCCAGTGGTAATGTAGATAGAAAGACGCATTATCCTACTCGGCACTGATCTTGCTAATTTGAGCCTGCCAGCTGATCGTCCACTGCCGTACTGCAGACAGCAAAGTGTCTGGGCTGTTGTGTAACTGGGGTCACACAGGGCTCTGGCAGTGCAATTCTCAAGTCATATTTGGCACTGTGGCATCTTCCAAAACAACACAGCAGTCATAATTTTCTCTATGATGTCTTCTGATTAACTAGTCACAGACTTGAGGAGACATCAGAGATGCTGCTTTTTCTTATTTCAGGGGACCATTATGGGTGAGATCCTAATTAAAATGGAAAAGGTGAGCAAATGAGGTGTTAAATCTGTTCAATGCTACATCTGAACCTTCCAAAAAATGAAAGGTTGCTTATGACAAATAAGGAGATGCCCCGTTAAAAAAGCACCTCAGTAAGAATAACATCAGCAGAAATTGTGTGCACAACCCATTTTCAGAGTAACAGTAGGAAACAAAGTATTTTTGAAATTAATCAAGTGTGGAGACATAGTCACCACAATCTAGTCATCACATCAAAATAATGTGTTAATAACACTTTTTCTAATCCCCACAGGAAGTAATAAATGCTTTGAAACAAACTTGGCATGTTTCCTGCTTTGTGTGTGTGGCCTGTCATAACCCCATCCGCAATAATGTCTTCCACTTAGAAGATGGTGATCCCTACTGTGAGACGGGTAAGAAGCAACACAACCAAAGTTTACTGCAGCTGTGTGGGGAAGCAGAGCTTAATAAGGTTGGAAAAAAATAATAATTCCTTTTTCTCAAGCTTCACTTTAGAAGAAGTGTCCCAGCAAATTCATGTAACTTTGATGTATCAATTAAAAGCAGCAACAAATACTGCAGATACGTTGAGTTTGCAGCAGGAAAAGTTGGTGAGAATTTCTTCATTGCCTTCAACAGGAGCAGGCTTCTTGACACTGGTTTTACTTGTTGTTCCTGTTAAGCCCTCAGCTGTAGGTATCAGTGATACAGCAAAGTGTTAATTTTAGGGTGACTTTCTGGTTGGCTTTAAAATAATCAGGAGTTTATGTAAATCTGCTTATGTACTAAATAAGCAAATGCCAGTGGAGTGAGGTGTTTTACTCTGAATAGCCTTATTCACAGCTGGAGGGACTTCCAACACTAAGCAGTCTGCCCAGGAAGTTTTCTGCAGGATCAGGGATAACATCTGTTGAACGTAAGCTTGGGATAATAAAACAGACTCTAAGGGGAAAAATACAGATAAGATTATAACACTTGAAAGCTTGATGAGCAATATTACATGAAAGATGTGGCTTAGAAGTTCAGAGGGATTCTGGTTTGGTTTTTAGCATTTACAGATAGTCATATCTTTTTTATTTATACGAACAATTTTTATTTATGTCAGTTTCCTAGTTTGCCAAAAGCTTCCCATGTACCCTTCTGAGTACAAGAAATAGATGGTATTTGTAAAACAATTTCCACAAAATTGAAAAGAAACAAAATTGTATCACAAAGAAACAAAATTGCCCATTTTCGTGCTGCATGCTGTTTACATCTGTGTTAGAGCCATCACTTGGACCTTTTCTGTGTTTTTCTGTCTAGTGTAAAAGGAGCATTGTAGTTTAACTAGAAGTGGAAGTGGATTGATCAGGAAGAGATTTAGTATGAGATCCTAGTGACTTGTTTGGAGCTAAGATTTTCTTCTGGGTTGATCCCACAGTTGGTCTCAGCGGGTGCCATGGAGAGTGCTAGGTACTGAAAGGATAAGGAAAGCAGTCCAAATTTATCCAAAATTTCTCTGTCAGAGCAGCTTTAATAAGGTGTTGGCAGACACAAAAGGACGCAGTAGGTTATTGCTAATTCAGTGACACAAGTAGGGTAAATCCTATTGAATTTGTGGAGCTGCAGAGGAAACGGATATACGAGCAGCATCTTCCAGTGTGACAGCATGGTGAAATTTCATCCTGAAGCAATCTGAAGCCCCTAATCTTGGAACCATTTGACGATTCAAAAATAGTACTGAAGGAATCAATAACTCCCCTTTGGATGGAAAGTGCATGACTGTGTTTGTTCTGCTAATATTGAATTCTTGTTCCTGCCACCAAATGACCCATATGTTGTTCAGTACATTGATTTGTGCTACTGTTACAAGTTCCATGCACAGATGCCACTTTCCTATACTGTGAGCAGGAAACACTGGGATGAAATGTCAAGAATACTAGACTTCTCGCAAAATTTATTTGTGAAAGAGAAGTTGCTAGCACAAATTAAGGTAGACACGTTCTGTGAGGTGTTGTTGGCAGTGATGTGTTGTAATGGCTCTGGTTCTCCAACTAGATGTTAATTTGAGATACGTTAATTCTTCAAAGACTTTCAGTCTAGCTGGAGTTAAGATTGTATGACTAATTTTAAATAAATAAGGAATAAATGTCATTGCCAACTTTCATTCCTTCTAGTGCAAAGGACAGTTCTAATTTTAAATCTGTATTTGAAATTATAACAGCATCAGCTATTAGTGTTACAGGGGTTTAATCTTCAAAACATTCTGGTTTTGGATATCGATGCTAAAATTAAAAGTGCAGATATCTACAACTTTGAACTTTTTTTAAGTGCAGAGTTAGTAACCTAGCTTTGAAAATGCCATGTGCAGGAAGCATTGATATGTGGCTGTATGAGAAGTCTGCTTTGGAAGGCTTCTGTGGTACCGCAGTTCAAGCATGCAAAAGCAAAAGAAAGCTGATGCCCTTCATTCTGCCTTATCTATTGCCCTTTCTTCAGAAGAAAAGCCAATAAACTTATCATCACAAACCACAGGCCAACTTACAAAAGGCTTTGACTACTGGCACCAGGAAAACATCAGTCAAAGATTATGTATGAGCACAAATGCAAAAAGCTGAAACAGTATGGTCATGAGACCATGTCCTTCAGGAGTTTTGCACAGGTGTGTTCTACCATTTGACATTTTTATTGTCTGTCTTCTGCTTAAACACTTGCAAATTCATCCCAGTAGCATGGATTAATGAAGGCGATTGGTGAAGCTGTTTCTTGACACAGGCAGCCATCAAGGGCTTCGCTTTTCCAGAGCACTTGTGTTCCCTGTCCTGCTGGGACGCCTCCTGTGATGATGCTTTTTGAGGTCATCATACAAAACAGTATCTTACTAAACCAAAACAGGACTTTTCTCTTGGGCTTGACATATTTGATAAACCTCTCTTGGCTCTGCTGCAGTAAGCACCAGAGCTTCAGCAGATCTGTATAATCCAGTAGAGAAAGAAAATCTCCTTGTACCCTGCTTGCCACTCCTTATAAGTCTTCTTGAAAACAACCCCTAGCATCTAATTTCCTTGTCAGAAGCAGAATGCTACTATTAAGGATGGAGTGCAAAGCTTCATTATGGTTGTCACTCTGTCTGTAGCTCATCTTATGAAGACATAATGTTGCATGACTTTATGTATTTGCCATGGTAGCATGCTGATCCCAAATTTTCCCATGTTACAGCATTAATGGTGTTGCCTTCTGTTCAGGGAAAAAACATTTCCTTCTTAGAATGGGGTGTTTGAGAGTCAAACTAAGTGGAAAAGACCAGATAACTTGGGGTGAAATTTAGGTCTGCACAGGTGGGCAGCAACGGGCTGTGGTGACTTGTAGCCCCTGAGATGTCTCTATGACCAGAGAAGCGAGTGTCACACACTGAGACCATGGGGATGGGGGTGGGTGCCAGTGCCTGTGCCTCTCACCCAACTTTATACATGTATTTTATCCTGCTAGTCTGCCCTGCTTTCTCTTTTTCAAGCTCTGCAGTCAGTGGGTATGATATGAATAGTTCGGTGCCCTTCGTTTTGGTCCCTGCTCTCTGAGACTGCTGGAGGAGCTTTTCTCAGCTGACTCCACAGGAGTCTCCAGAGGCACCAAGTCAATTTGGTGCCTAAAAGTTAATGGTGTGAATACCCTTCAGTGATTCCAGTCACTAATAACCATCCCAACACCCTACTGACACTTTTTGTTAAGTGCAATAAATATATTGCCTAAAGCCTCTGGTTTGTTTTTGGTGTTTTTTTTTTTTTTTTTTTAATTATTATTATTTTGTTTGTTTGTTTGTTTGTTTGTTTGGGGTTTTTTTTGTGTTTGAGGTTTTTTGTTTTTAAAAAAGCCACATAATAAACTCCAGTGACTAGAAAACTATTCTGACTTGTTCCAAATTGCTAGACTCTGTTTAGGACAGAAGCCTAATGATTGCATGATTTTGTGTAGTACAGTCTGGGGCAAATGTTGTGGCAGAATGTAGGCAGGAGCTCGTTACTGGCTGAGGGGGTCTGTCTCTGTCTTGTCAACAGCTAGGGTACACTTTCAAGGCAGAGCCGGAGGGAATGTAAGGAGCCAGTAGAGCCCATGCAGATTCTCTGAAAGGAGTGCATTTCCCCTCCAAGCGTGCTATTGATCTCAAGGAAATGAAACACCAGGAAGATGGAAGCATTGTGCACTTGAAAGGACAAGGATGAAAATGAATTAGTGAGGAAAGGAGGGCATCCCAGTCTGTCAATCTAGGAGCTCTTTATTCAGTGTACCAAATATTATAAAATTCAACAAGTACAAACCCACTGCCACTGAAAGGAAAGCACAAAGGTTTCAAAGGGTCAGTCTCACTTTTCTGCATATGCTTTATCTTTAAAATCTGTTTGTATTTGTTTGCAGATTACTATGCCCTCTTTGGTACTATGTGCCATGGCTGTGAATTCCCCATTGAAGCTGGAGACAGGTTTCTTGAAGCTCTGGGCCACACTTGGCATGACACTTGCTTTGTATGCTCAGTAAGTACAGCTCGTCTACATTTTAAACAAGCCTGTGGTAGCAGTGCCTGTGCTAACCTGACCGATGTGGGAGTTAACAGCTGTAACCTCTTACAATCCTCTGAGCCCGAGCAAAAAAGCACTTTCCCAGTTATTTGGAAGGTGTGTTGCTATTGTGAGCCTTTGGCATGGGTCCAGAGGAGTTGGCCCAGATTGCAGCCCTATGTCCTAGCATTTAACCCTTGACGTTTACTTCCTCAGAGCAAGCACTGAAGGCCATACAGGAACAGGCTGCATTTCTAAAGTAGCAAGAGTGCTTTAGACATAAAGAAACTGGAGCCAAAGTATCACCTACTCATATTGTATGACCAAAATAAAAAGTCCTAATCCTGATGACTAGATATCTTTTTAAAAAAACTGAACTTTACTCTGCTCCCAGTTAAGAACCTGTTGACATAAAGAAAGGAAGGTTATGATTACATCAACCATTAGTATTGCATCAAAAAGAGTATCCTTAAGAAAAAGTTAATAATTCTTATTCTTTTAATATATTTGTGCATAGAACAATGCCATAGTTTGGTGTTCTGAATAGCGTATGGTGTAATTCATCCATCTGAACTGGATGATCTTTTCTTTTTTATTCCATTTCAGGTATGTAGTGACAGTTTGGAGGGGCAGACTTTCTTCTCCAAGAAGGACAAGCCACTGTGCAAGAAACATGCTCACTCTATCAACATCTGATGCTTAGAGCTCATCCTGTGTAACAAATGTACTGAGCAGAATGAAAGGTTAACATGTCTGTGTTCAATAATCAGTTAAAATGATTTATATATGATTTTCTAGAATGGAAGAGAAATGTGGAAACTTGCAGATGGGGTTATACACTAATTTTTAGAGCATTTATCAGTTAGGGTTTTGCTTCACAAAGAGATAGAATTCAGGAATTGCACCCAAGCGAAACAACTAGAGTGCCTTTACCTCCACACTTGGCATGTTACTGTATTGGTTTCATGATTTTATGACTACATTTATATCTGCTTCAGTGTGAGAAGTAAAATGTCTATAAAAATAAATACCTGATATTAGAGGTCTTAGTTTTGCTGCTATTCAGCAAATAAAAGAAGATTGGCTTCAGCGATCCAGATCACTTTATTGCACTGATGTTTTTTACAGTGTGTCTAGAAGTATTGCAGCTAAACTCCATTAACAGGAATTCGAAGTAAAAGATAAGATTACATAGAATACTTAGCTCAGTAACTGATATTTTTATCTGATGCTCATATACATGAAACTTCCTGCACAACTACCTATGCCTTTGCAGTTAAATCTTTGATGGGTCTTCAAAGGACGGATTTTTACAAAGAAGTTAAGTGGTGTGGTGGCTAGGCTGATGAATAAGAACAGTTTAGAAGATGCCACTTAGAAGAAAACCTAAATGGGATACTCTTCCTTCAGTCTTGTACTACAAGAAAACTAATCAAAAAAACCTGCTAGTGAAGGTGTGTTTGACAGGATGGAAAGGATGGAAATGTCAGATCAGATCTTAAAAATAAGAAATCCGGGAGTTACACACTTACATTCGGAGTTCAGGTTTTAGATTATTTTAAGTTGCCTTGGAAAGGGGAAATTGCACTGAACCTGCAGGTAACAGTGTGTTATATCCAGAATGTGAGACTGGTGTTGAATGAGGGAAACTGCTGAAGTGCAACTGAGGACATTGTTTTTCTCTCAGTACATTCTTTACCATGTAGCTCATGAATATGTATATTGGTGGTGTGCCAGGTAGTGTACCAAAAACTTACTTTCTTGCTCAGCTGTTATGATTTTTATTAGTTTAGGTTTTATTTCTCTCTTTTCCTCCAAATGTAGGGAATATATTGCTGAATAATATAATATTGAGTCAGGCAGCTCAGTATCTCTCAGTTCCTGCAAGGGAGCAGAGAGACAATGCTGTCATTATGCATTTACTGCGAGCCAGGAGATGTAGCCTGTTCTGTGGCTTGATATGAATTTTGCCTCCATACAGAGTGTCAGGACAAGACCTGTGCACCAGCTAAGTCCCACTTAACTTCAAATTAGGGCTTAAGTGGTATGGAGCAATTGTAGGCAGATAGGGAAGAGGTGGTGACCCTCTGCATGGCGTGAATTTCGCTCCAGCAGAGTTGCACAACGGAGAAGGGGGCCCTCTCAGGGCCAGATCAGATTCCTGAAGGAAACGGAATTTACACACTATTTAATTCAACTGGGATGTCAGAGCTGAATTATCTTTAGCGCTCTTTCCAATAGATGTTGAAAGTAACCATTTACTGGGTTTGGTTTTGGTGGGGTTTTTTTGCTGGGTGTTTTTGTTGTTGTTTCGGTTTGTTTTTTGTTGTTATCTTTTGCTGGTTTGGGGTTTGTGGTTTTTTGTTGGTTTTTTTTTTTTTTTTTCTTTTATTGATACAAAGGACAGGTTTATCCATGAACCCATGGAGAAGAATACAAAAAGTTGCCATGGCTGAGTAAAGAAATTGTAATAAGGCATGTCAACAAAAGAGGGGGAAAGAAAACTAAAATTGTTGTGCAGAAATATGAAAAGATATTTGACTTCCTTCTTAATTCAGAAAGACAAATTCATGTTGTGGGGCTGTTTCACTTTATTTCCTGAGGTTGTTTTTCTTCAATACCACCACGTTTCTTTTTTTAACTTTTGGTGGTACAGAAGAAATGGCATAAAGCTGTTTAAAATGTTTACACTCTTGCAGATGTAGCCTTTTGTGAGTTTGGCTGAAAATCAGAAGAGTAGAAGCAGACTGGACAAGATACAGTAATATATGAGCCAGGTTGCTTTTGAAATTAGGTGGAATGTGGAGAAATGAGACCCAGAGACTACGTTTCAGTGGAGCTATATTGCACATGCGTGAGGAAAGAGGATGGGAATGCACAGGATAAGGCATTCAGTGATTTCTGCAATTCAAACCTCGCTATTTTAAAGTAGGATAGAAACTTTTCAGTTTGCCCTTGTCCTTAAAATCAAATTGAATTTTGTTTAGTTTTGTAATTTTAATTGGAACTCTATTTCTTAATCCATGTGCTCTAGGATTTGAAATTTTGCCGTTATTAATGAATTTGAGGAAAAAAGCCTGAAAGGCTCCAATAGTACTGCTTCACTTAGCTGTTTTGCCTTTTAATTTCTGCTTCTATCTATTTGTTTAAAATTTAAAAGGAAACATAGAGTCACTGATACATAATGAATATTTTATGGCTCTACCAAATTATATAAATCAACTAAAAGGAACATAATTTTTATTGTTATTTTAATAAGTGAGATTTTAGTAGAGCACTTTATAATAATGCCATATATCTCACTGAATATTTATTACCTTTTTTGTTTAGGACTATTTCATATTGCTATCTTTGTATTTTGTTTTATTTGTAAGCCTGCATATTTACCTCTAGAATATTTTGGGGTGTGAGTGTGTGTATGTGTATGTGCTTATATATACTACTCTATACATGCACACATACACGTGTACATTGAGAGACATACGTATAAATGCACATATACATACATATATTTGACTGCAGACTTGACATAGCAAAAACCAGCACAGTTTCATCATCATTTGGGGATTTAATGAGATTCCCAACTATTTTTCATATTCACTTAATTTAGCATTCATGTTTTGAGGAAATGTTAGAAAGTCAGGAGAGACATGTTAGCAACCTAACTACTGTGGTTTTTTGCATGCATTATTTTTTTTTTTCCAAAACTGCCTGTAAGACAATCGGTTTTAACTCTGAAGGTAGAAGGTCTTTATGAGTGAATAATTGAATCATGATGACAGTTTCAGTATATTGTAACTAAATAATTCAGAATTATGTGTAAATATAAATGCTTAATATAACAATGCAATAAACTTAAAAGCAAAAGTTGAGTTGTGGTTCAGCATGTTTGTTCAGTTGTGTACCTGTTTCTTCACAGAGCTCCTCACATCATCTACCCATATAAGTGGCTTTGCAACCAAGAGTAAGAAGAAACTACATCAATTCACAGATTACTTGTTTGAATTTCCTTTTTTTCATTGTTTTACACTAAACAACCAGCTATGAAGTCCTGGAGATTTCCTTGCTTGTGTTTAATAGTCTTTGGCATCAAATTTTGGCTGTTCACATTTGCAAGTTCATTTGTAATTACAACACAAAACAAGCAAACAAATCCAACACAAAACCTCAAACTCTCTCTGCCCTCAGTTTTTTTGTGGTTGTTGTTTTGTTTTTTGCTTTTTTTTTTTCTCTGAACCATAGCCAGCAAAAGAAAATCATGATCGTACACATGAGTAGATACCATTTGAATTGCTTGTTCTTCGTTTTTTGGGGGTAGAATGGAAGCTTGCTTTACAGAAAAGGACCTGGGCATCCTGGTGGACACCAAGTTGACCATGAGCCAGAGGTGTCCCCTTATTGACAAGGAAGACCACCAGCCTCCTGGGATCCATTAGGCAGAAGATTGCCAGTAGATTGAGGGAGGTGGCCCTTCATCTCTTCTCAGCCTTGGTGAGACACATCTGGAGTGCTGGATCCAGTGCTGGTCTTGTCAGTACAAGAGAGACATGGATGTACTGGAGTGAAGAGCTAGGAAGACAATTAAGGGCTTGGAACATTTGACATACAAGGAGAGGCTGAGAGAGCTGATGCTGTTCAGCCTGGAGAAGAAAGGGCTTGGGGGGATCTCATCCATGTCTACAAATACATGGAGAGGGGAGTAAAGAAGATGGAACCAGACTTGGCTCAGTGGTACGTAGTGGCAAAACAACTGTGAGGATGGTCAAACACTGGCATGGGTTGCCCAGAGAGATGGCAGAGTCTCTGTCCCTGGAGATACTCAAAAACCAACTGGACATGGACCTTGGGCTACACAAGGTCCCTTCATCTCCAAAGGTCCCTTCCAACCTCAGTGAATCTCTGATTCTCCATCTTTTCTCAAGATGGAATGAAAGATGGAAATATGGTATTGAATGCTGTAGAATATGTGAGAATGTAAAACTCAATATTGGCCAATTACTATTTATTTGCTATCTTAATTCTACCGCCCATGTAGAATACTTTGCAATGCTTGTTTAGAAATGTTTAATATTTTTCCTAAGCTGAGACTGTTCAAGGAAATACTGCCTGCTCTGGCAAGCATTATCTGATACTGTACTTAGCCTTGGCATGCAGCAGTCTCCACTTTCACCACAGGATACTTAACCGTCTACTATAACATGGCCAATTACTTCTTGATAATACCAGCCTGGTAAGACTCTCCTTAGCTGAGTATCTCTTAACTAGGCAAATGCACTGTTGTTTTCTACTTTTATTTACACAAGCAAAAGAAAACACTGCACACAGCTCTATAAAATTTAGAGGCAACTTTACAGAAAACTTGCCTTCCCTTCAATGTTTAGGCTATGAATGAGACAAATGCAAGTCTATTTGCAAACAGTATATTAAACTCCAGAAGCCAAACTTTTAAAGGCATCAAGTCTGCATTTGACATTTTAATGGCAAAGGTTTGGTTTCTATCAATCACAACGTCATGTAACATTAAAATGCACCGACCAAAAAAAGAGCTCTGTCATTCATTCATTAAGACACTGTAATCCAGTGTAAGATTTATAGGCTTAAAACTCAACGGTGTGTTTTCACAATAAATCCACTTTCACTGCTCAGCACAGAACAAATCTCTCTGTCACTCAAAATGTTTGCTGGTCAAAATGCCCTGTATGAGATCTTCAAAAGAGTTTCTCACAAAATTGCATATAAATCATTTTACCAGCAAAGGCTTAATTTAGGTTCGAGTTTTACTTTCTCAGGACATTGGTTAATATCTTGTGCTCAGACAAGATCTTGGTTATATCAGAAACACATAGGGCCTAATTTATTATTAGCAGTCTGGTGTTAATTAGGGGGAATTACCAGAAATAGTTTGCTTGATGGAAATTTATTATGGGATCACACTTTACTGATGGCAAAATAGGAGTCACTGAAAGAGTGCAGTTCCTTCTCGTAACCAACTAATTAATAAGGTGCCAAAATTCCTCTGAGAAGGGTTTGGTCCTAACTATGGGAACCTTGCAGAGCAAATGGCTCCTATGCAGTATTTAAAATTTAAAAGAGGAAAAGAGAGAGGAGAAAAAGCCGCTCAGCAGAAGTCTCAAAAGTAGTGTGGCTTTTTCTTGAATTTATGAAAGAAAATATTTAGCTGTGTTTCTAAGCTCATTAAAGAATTGCTTTTCCCAGACAGAAAAACAACAGCTAGTTATAATCTCGTTTGGTATGTTTGAACTTGGTTTTCAGTTTTACTTGTGCATACTGCACACTACAGCTTGTAATTTTATGAATTGGCCTTATAATGAGCTTTTATATTGCTCTTTATTGCTTTGCCTAAAGGTCTTTTTCATTATCATTTGCTATGAAACTTGAGGTTGGCATAGATAGAACACTTGTGTTGATGACTGAAAAATAGGGCAAAGTATTCACATCTCTCCTAAGCCCAAATCTAGCGCATGTATGGCAGTTTGGGGATAGAAAACCACTGTCTGTTGTTACTGGTCTCATGAAAGGTTTACTTGTGTTAGAATGGCATGTTGTAATAAAATGGAGTGCAAGGAAAAATGTCTCTAAAGAAATTTAAAATCACCATGCTAAAATTTACACATGGCTGATGTGGAAAAATATTTTCCATAAGATTTTTTTTCAAAAATATTTAAGATGATAAGGTATGAAAGTTGTCATAAAGCACTTTTGCGTTTGAACTGGAAATACCTTAAGCTTTTCAAAAATATCCAGCATTTTGGGTATGTTTTAAAAGGCTTCTCCTATACTGATAAACTAAAGATTGTGTCATTGTGCTTTGAGTAATATTCACACTTTCCATAGGATCACAGTTATTTCCTTTTCAGTACTCATCCCTCCACTTTTCTTTTTCTTACTGCTGGGCAGTGCCACTGTTTGTTTTAAAGTATTTCAGTACAAGATAATCCTGTCAGGTGTGTCCTTTATTTCTCTTTGTGATGCATCAGTGAAATGTCAAATGTTCCTTTGGTAAATATAAACTTGCGCTAAATTTTGGCACACTTTCCAAAGTCTCAAATTTTCCCACCCAGAAGTTTCCGCTGGAAAAATAACTCAAGATACTAGACCAAAGTGGAAATTACATCCCATATAAACTTTCTTTCCCTTGAAATCCATCAAGCAGAAGGGAAACACATGAAAATAAATGTAGGTCCAAAATAATTGATAACCTAAATGGATAGAACCTCACTGATTTCAATTTAATCCCCTCCAAATTAAAAATGGCCAGTAGAAGAGCTACATTAATTTTATGCTTACATTTGCCCAATAACTGGGATCAGAATTAAATCAAGGATCTGGACCCTTGGTTTTAGCAGGATTTTCATTAAGTGGCACAAATCTACTTGAAGGAACGCTGAATACTCATTTGGTAGGTGACAAGACAGTTGATTACCATGCTACCCAAAGACAGTAAAATCACTACAAGAAACAACACTGCTTCCTCACTGCATTTCATTTCTCAAATCTCAGATGTTCAGTGTCTCTGGATGAACCATAACAAGGTAAGAAAGTGAAAATCTTTCCCTGATACTCATCTGCCTACTCTAGTACCTTGCTGATTCAATGAAATTTAATTGAATTGTTATATACTGTCTCTCAAATAGAAAATAAAATCTTTGTGCTCATCCTGTTCTTGGATCAATAGTCTCTGAGAATAAAAAGGATGATAAATTCATAAATAATTAGGTACTCTCTGCAGGTTTTACCTGCATCAGAGTTCTTCAGCTTTTCTTGCCATTCATGTTGTCCTAGCAGCATTTTTCCAAATTATGTAAGCCCTTCAAAATGTCCTTTAAGGGTGGATTAACAATTATTCAGACCTCTCAGAAATTACTGGAGTATATATTTTTTTAAAAAATCACTTTCATTATTAAAAGTGTTGATCATGACACATTAAGCAATCACCCTCTCTTGCTGTGTGCAAAGAATAAATTACATTTTATAGGGAAGGGATTTTTTTTTTTTAATATAGGACCTACTTTTCTCTTCATATGTTGTATGGAGGCAGGTAGGGTATAAAATAGAGCAACTTAATATTTACAGCACCTATGGTCCAATCTTGGACTTAAACTTGGCTTTAAAAAATATCAATGAAGTTAATCTGCTGTGTGACTTTTTTCTCCATAGGGTACCTACTGACAATCAGTAGAGGATTGCTGTGAAGCTCTGAGAATTAGTATCTGGAGAAGCAAATAGGTTGGGCTTTCTCTGAAATAGTTCAGTGTATATAAATGGAATTCAAATGCTACTACAATAAGGCTGCACATTTTTCTTTAAATCTTGCATGTTCTTCCTTATTTATTTATATTTTTTCCAAGTGTGTGGTTAATCAGGTGGATTTTTCCCCCACTCTCAATAGAACAAATCTCACAGTCAGCTAGAAGCACCCTCTGCAAAATTTGGGGAGATGTTATTTTTTTATGGTTTAATTTTTCATTTATTCCAAGTGAATGTTTGTGGTGTCTTGGTGGAGATCAGTTTATGATAACTCTCTGATGAAGTCTATGATACTCTCCCAAAAAATAGCAATAGCATACTTTCTTGCTTAAAGTTTGTCTTTCACAAGGTCTCTAGAGCTTTGGCATAGGTTTCCTAATACCATATTCATCTTCTGTGCAGTTACATGATTGTAGTAGGAGAATTTTGTATTTTTCTGCTCAATGGCAATGAGCATTCAAGGACTGTGGTGTACTGTGGGAGCACTGGATTGCTAGTTAGACAATGTTATGGTACTACCATGAAACTGAGAGTCGTAAATTAGAACATGGTGGGATAGATGTGGTAATTGTAGCTCTGCTACACAAAGAGTGCAGACACTTAA